TATAACCTCTCGTGTTGACATTTGTGTGCCTATTCAAGTTGACTTTGCATAGTAGTTCTGAGAGTTCTCAATTGGTTGCATAGCTAATTGGAAGCTATGGCAGGCCCTTGTGTTGCCAGGTTGCAAGAACTTAAGATTGCACAAGTTCAATCCATATGAGTTTGGATTTGTCACTAACCTTGTCTGGTGATTATGGTTTTGACAAATTCATATGGGTAGGAACTCATACACCATAAAAAGCTAAGTGTTATAAGGTTTCTCTTCGATTCATGAAAATGATGGTGAGGAAACACTTTCACTAAGTAGATTTTTAAGTAGATAGTAATCTTTGCATTCTCAAAGTCGTTAGTAGAGCACACTAACATGGACTTATGAGAAATAGCAAAGGTCTAAGCAATTGAGACTATGATTACGACATCCCTTTTCATAGTTCTTAAATTGTTTAGACACACCAGTGAGCTATTTACAATAAGGTGTATGATTTTGATAAAGTCTTATCAAAGCAATCTAGTATCAGAAATTTGAACTTTGGTAAGAAAGTCAATAAAGTATTGATTTCTAGAAGTCCACTAATTTTTGAATACATGTCAAAGCTAGTGGGAGCATAAGTGTTATGCTAATAATCATCATGTTAGTGGGAGCATGATAATTATTGTTAGTATTGCAAGTTAGCAATGTTAATTATAGAAAAACAAAGTTTCAATTCGTGAGGCAGCAGGGATTGAAAGAGTTCTTTGCTATAATTAAGGGAGAGGATATACTTCATTTCAGTTCTAAAGGCTTAGATTGAGACCTTAATCATCTTTAGTCAAGAATATATATATATATATATATATATATATATATATATATATATATATATATATATATATGAATTTCATGTTGGATTGGTTCAACTTAAGTAAATTCCATATATTGCGTTCTCAAAATTCAATTATGATTACGGCATCCCTCTTCATAGTTAAATTTTGAAAACATGGCAAATAAAAATATTGTAGCAAAAGACTGGTCTAGAATCATGTCTTTATGTGAGACATCATGAATCGTGTCCCATTTGCTTTGGGTACAGGATCGATTGCATGTGCTATAATATTTGTCCTTTCTAAAATTTTCCAAATGCCTGGGGCATTAAGAAGGGAAAAGGTCTAGAATTGGATATGACTACAAGGATTAAGCAATTGTCGAGGACAATCTGAGGTTTACCAAAGATTGGTTGATCAAGGACAGTTGGAAGTATAGTGCTAATTTTGGAAGGACCATATTGACATATTCTGAAAAGAGGCATCTCTTGTTCAAAAGTGATAGTCAAAATGAGAATATGGAGTTGTCTCCATAGGTGGAAATTATCTGTGTAAGATTAGAAAACCTAATGCAAGAAGAATGTTCAAAGCAATGTACTTTAAATATGAGACTTAGTTTCCATGGAGTTGAACTCCATTGGATTACCTTATAATGACTGTTGACAAGTCTTTGGGACTTTGTACATATTCATTACAGGTGAGTCAGTGCATATAAGTTTAAAATCTAAACAGATTTTGATAAATGATAGGAATTTGAAATTCTCACATTTTTCGATAAGGATTTGGAAGTGTGAAATTAGAATCATTGAAATTATGTTCAATTAATCTATTTCACAAAGTAAGGATCATAGACAAACATAGAGTGCATACTTGATGTATTGCAAAGCTATTTCTTAGCAAAACGTAGTGTACATGCTTGGAGCATGGGACAACTAGTGTTTTCTAAATCCAAGTATAAAGTTGATAAAACCGAAACAATGAATAATGAGTAATCAGTATGGTGATAAATAAAAAGTGTTTTATTTATACTCATAGTTTGATACCCTATTAGATTCATTTATTTTTGTGTTTCATTTTGCATGTTTTGACTTCCAGAATAAACTAGGTTATTCTTCCTGAATGACTACCATGGGTTGGCTTGTAGAGGTCCAAGTTGGTGGACAAAGTGGTGCTACAACACTCATGAGTGCTCATAAGTTCTGAGTATTGGATTCAACCCGCGCTCATTTGAATCACTTCATGGATTTTATCACGAGTGATCATGAGACGATAATATCGTATATTCTTCAAACCTAGAGATATGAGTTGTTACTATGAGTTGATAGTATATTGATTGCACGAAAACGCATTGGTAACTCGATGTTATACAACGTGCCTTTGTGTATGATTCAACAAGTAGTAGAACAAGCCATATGAGTCGAAGTTTATCCATTCCTTTTACCTTCGGGATAAAAGCGATATCTGTGGGCCCCTCGATGATTTAGCGATGACACATGTGAGTGCTTGGCCAAGCCAGGACTGATTTGATTTGTTCAATCAGTCAGTCATCATGAATCCGAAATCGGGAAACAACAGATGGACATAGAGAATGATTTATAATCCATGTCTCAGTCCATATAATATCTAGAATGGAAGAATATATGATCACTTATCTAATGGGCAAGTCATTGACAAAGGTCAGAGATTATCGGCAAGGTCAGAGTTCGACGGAGGCTTTTGAGAGCTACGATTGCCAGTTGGTTCTTGAAGTCATACGCAATAATAGTTTTAAACTTATCCAAGTGGGAGACTGTTGGATTAGAGTCTAAGTCCATAACTATATTTGGTATATACTTGACCCGACCAGGCATGGTCCATTTGGGTTGCATCGCATCATGCTCTTGGGTAGACTAAATGAGAGAAATAGGACACTTATGGTTATTAATATATTATAAGTTCTAATATATTAATAATAAGAATAATAATATTTAATTAGTATTGATCAAGAATTAATTTAGAATTAATTATGTGATCAAAAGAAGACTAATTAAATATATGGGTTGATTGTGTAAATCATCCATAACCTATATAGTGGGCCAAAGCTTCATGGATAATCAAGTTGGGTTAAACCCATAGGTTGCTCCATGGAGGTTACTTAACCCATGGGTCATGGAAATGAAAGGTCATGACAATTAGGGTTTACATGGTGTAACCCTAATTGTAACATACTATATAAGCATCATATTATTCATCAAAATCGGACACTAGTGTGTGTAAAAGAAGGGATAGCCGATTTCTTGAAGTGTGGATTTCTCTCTAAGTTATTCCAAGAGCATTTGATGTTGTGTGAGCCATTTGAGGTGTCACATTTGAGGCACTAGGCACTCAAGCCCCATGGAGTCCAGCTACACTACAAAAGGTATGTATTCTATCTATATTATTACCCAAGTATCTATGATTGTATGCTAGATAGGGTAATACCTTGGAATATTAGCATTTGCATGTATATTAGAGAAAACATAGATCCAAGGTATTTAGGGTTGCATGTACACTTACGAGTGTTAGAATGCTCAAAACCCAACAATAATAACTACATGAGGTGTTAGTGGGGAGTACATGTTTGCTTGCGTACCATGAACCTGTCACCGAAGTTTTATCTGAACACAATGTTGGGTTCAATGTGAAGAACATTGGTGTGAAGGATTTAAAGCATGGTACTGTGATAACTGATGCATATATATTCAAGAGAAACAACCAAATGGAATCGTATTCAGTCTAATATAGGAGTAAAAAATCATGGTACTATGATAACTGATGCATACATTGATATTACTAGACATTTATAGGGAAATGTTCAGGAAAGAAGTTGTGAAGCTAGGAGCGTTGATCAGATTAAAGTTAAAAAGACTGGAGATGCCAAAATAGGTGAGAGTGGACAATTACTAGTGAAGAACTTGCTCAACAGATTTTGAATCTTCACTAGATTGAATTAAGATCCAGGGTACCCACAAAATTAAGATCCAGGGTACCAACAAACTGAAGAAAAAAACAGAAAACTAAAGGTTGTTAGGTTAGTTTTTTTTATCTTGATTTAGTTTTAATTTTTGGGTGTTGATTGAATTTAGTTAGGTCTTTATGATTTAATATGTAGGAGATTGAGAAGATGAAGATTAGGGCAAAAGAGTCATTTTACTTTAAAGCCTTTTTATTAATGTCGTCGGTGCCAGAGACAAACCTTGCAGTAAAACTAAATTTGATTGTTAACTATTTGCGGTTTTTTTATTATACACAATATTTTGCTAATGTTTGTAAGAAATAATTTTTTTTCTTTCTCACAGGGTTTGAGTGATCTCTATCCAATATTTTGCTAATGTTTGTAATTCATCATGAAAGATGAATCACAAGCTTTCTGGTGTTTTTTTATGGAAAGATTATGTCCAAATTTCAACCGTGATTGAGGGTATATTGGTCATTTAATAAAAAAAGAGTAATGAAATTGAAACCACCTACCCTCATGAATGGTTGAAGTCCATCAAATTTAAAATTTGAAGCAATTTTACAGAGTTGAATTATGTCTGAATTTTCAACCAAATGCACCATTGAATGGAATCTTAAATTCAAATTTCCTTGGAATCCACAATTCTAATTCTTGGCTGCGAAGCGATTACTAAAAATGATATTTCAAGAAAATCCAACAGAACTGAAATCCGTCCTAATTGTCAACCAATTCCAACAGAACTGAACCACAATTCCAATTCTTGGGAAAAATATGTGTCTTCTCATTAAGAAGAATGCTCAATATATACTCAATACACAAGCTAATTATTAGCCTAAGTTACAGATTTCTAGCCTATAAATCAGCTTAGTAGAGTTATGTACAATTATTGACAATAAAAGCATGTGATAGCAAAGATATTTTGCTGATTAATCTGAAGCATAAAATCAGTATTGAATAAATATATATAGATATATATATATATATAGATATAGTATAGATATATATATGTATATATATATGTATGTATGTATATATATATATATATCTATATATATATATATATACATATACTATATATATACATATATATATATATATATATATATATATATATATATATATGATAATTGCATGTGATACAGAGAAACTAAGGTATTGGCAGAAATAAAAACACATTTGGTTGACAAAATGGATGGAATTGGATCCCATCAGATTCCCCCAAAATGGATAGTGATGCTTGGAAACTCATACTCACAAAAATATCTCAGGCTCTTGTTTTAAATGGATTTAGAGGAAGGTTGAGTCTCAAAATTGAGGGTGAAGATTTTGTGACTTTGGTGACTAAATCAACTCACCGAGACACTGCAACAAGGATGACTACTACTGTACACAAAGCTTACAACACAGGCCGATCCACAAGGTTGACTGCTAAGAAATATTCCCAAGTGATGAAGAGGTAAACAAGTGAGCTTGTAAGAATTAATTTGTTGATGGATGAAGTGAAGGATTTGGGTGACACCATAGAAGAGAAACCCTATGTTATTACTTGGGATGGAGCCTTAAGGATTGAGAAGGTTGTTGATGAAGCTCGAAGTAGAGAAAAGAAGGTCAACAAACAGAAGGTGAAATCAGTTGAAAGAAATGAGCAACTTGAGGCTATGGATGTAGAGCTTGACATGAACGAAACGGATAAATCTAGCCAAGTAAACAAGACTAACGTCGTTGGATTGCTTAGAGATGATGTTGGATAGTTGAAAGAACTTTAGGGGAAGACTCTTGTTTTAAGCACCAAAGAAGAGCCAAAGTTTGAAGAACCTGAAGAGAAATATCTCACAGGGGAGTTTGATAAAGAGAAGTTTGAGAGATTTTTCGTCTCTTTTCTCGGGCCACTGACATTATACTTACACGGTTAGCCAATCCTTTCTTCACCTTGAGGACAAGGTGAAAGTTTGGGATAACAAGCAGACCAAATGTTCGCAAGATGAAAGAAGGGGATAAAAACATTACATACAACTTGAGAAGCTTGAGATTTACCTTGTGTTCAACTTGAGAAGCTTTATTAGGTGAGAAACCCTTGAATGTGTTCAATTTAGCATCAGATTCATGGCTACCAGGCGCTTCTTCCCCTTGTGTCGACATTCTTCTGCTCTTTCTCTTCTGTTACTTGGTTCTCTGGCCAACCGGGAAGTTCACTTTGCCTAAATCGTTTCAACAGGCACACATTAATCGGACCTAGGGCACATAAATTTGAGAAGTCTCCATTGATGTCAGTTGGGCCCAAGCTCGTCGACCAGGCGAAATCAACCGGAGGAGAAGTAACCTAACGTCGTCGGAGGAGACGTTGTCTGCAAGGGGCGGCGAGTCGAGGTCTCAGAGTCGATCGATTGTAGGGAGTGAGGTGATTGATGAACACTAAGTGTTAGGATATTTTAATAGTAACCTCGATTATTGTAACAAGAGACGCGCGCTTTTCATTAAAATTATAAGGTGATATTTATTGAGATGACGCACATTTTACATAAAGTGCCCTCCATGTTTTTAAGTTTATTACATTATACACTAATTTAAGGGCACGCAATAATGCGCGACCTATATCCTTAAATTTTAACAGATGACACTTTTTTAATGTCACTCTCTTTTGTGTAACATAAATCAATGAGCGTCGTGTTTTGCGCGTCGTAAAAGGGTCTTTTTCTTGTAGTGGAAGTATGCCTGAATAGACACAAGCACTAGCTTATTCTAGGAAAGATGCCGAAATTGCTTTTATGTGCTAAATGATTTATGCAATAGCAATAAGATGCCTTAAGATGCTTTAGGTTGCCTACTTAGGATGTTATTATTTGAATAAATCGATGGTTTGTTCTAGATTTAGATTTAGAAATTTTTTGTGTTCAGGATTCTAAACGTTTAAGTACGGTGTTAGAACTGACATGTAATATTTCGGAGGAATAAGGATGATTATACGTCAAATAAAACCTTCCCTATCACAAATTCTTGTCACTGTACATTGAACGTCTACTTTGGTGTATATAGCGTCATGGTGAGAAGACGCAGCGGGCTTAGGAAACGTTAATGGAAACCAACACCTAGAGCCAACGGTGATTGAGCATGCACCTAAAAAAGTACTAGTAGCTGAACCTGTCACTATGGAAACAGTTAGGGCTCTATTAGCGAAACAAAGAGAGAAAATGAGGAAGCTAATCCATCAGAACGGTAGAGAGCCTATGGTGCCAGTTGAGCAACCCGAGTTGAATGTAGAACAATCTGTGGAAATAATTATAGCAGGACTGTTAGTCGATCAGAACCCCAAGTGGTTAGAAGAAATAACCCTGAGGGAGAAAATGAAGGAAATAATGGACGTGAGTGTAAGTATAAAGACTTCATGGGTTCGAAGCGACCAAGTCTTTCTGGAAGTTTAAAGCAAAACTGAATTTTATCACACCAATATCATATAAGACAATCCAAATTGAACCAACCATTATGCCAAGACCGCAACGCATGCATTTGTGTCTAAAATTTTTCCTAAGGACCCCCCTCAATTCTAAATACTTACAATCCTCATAAACACTCGCCCACTTCTTTTGAACATTGCTCATTTTATGCATCCCTCCGAATCCATCCCCAAAAAACTTTCTTAACCTCAAGTCATTTTTGGTTAAATCCCCAAGCATACATATGATAAAATAACCTAGAAAAGAAAATTACAATAAAAATAAGTACTACTTTTGATTGAATCTTTTATACTTTGTAGCTTTTCTTCATGATATTCTTCTTTGTCTTCATAGCTTTGTAGATTCTTTATTCAAACATTTCATCACTCTTTTTTTTTCAACTTTTTTTTTCCTTTTTTTTTCTCTTTTTTTTTCTTTTTTCAACGCACTTTTTCCACTTAAAACTAAAAACCTAGAAAAACATATGCTTAAGCAAGGGAATTTAACTTCATCCTTTATTGGTTAAAGGCATTAGTCTAGTGTGCAATGACTACTTTAGTTTTCCTGGATACAATTCAAGTACACGATGCTAAACATGTTGCGATCCTCAAACTAAGTGAGGTTGTGTTTTTGATCCATGATTTCACTAGAATAAAGGAGGCCACAAATGCACTATAACGTATATTGGCTCAACTAAACATTTGGGTCTTCATAGAATCATCAAACACAATAATAGCATGGAACCCTAATTGCTTTACCAAAATTTGTCTGAATTAACCCTAACAAAATTTTTATGCAATTTTTTTTTTCAAACCAAGGATTCAAAAGATTCTAATCTTTTCACTAAATGTAATCAACCCCCTACCCCACACATAAATTATGCAATGTCCCCATTGCATTTTATGCATGAAAAAGAACATAAAAGTAAAGAAAGAATTAGAACAAACTCCCCTGGGATAGTAGTTGCGAGGTTGATATTTTTCTTGTTAAGTTCCATCTTCAGCTGACTTTAGACATGGGAACAGCTCATCCACGTCTTGGGTGTCAAATCTCGTGTGGTTAGGCTCCAAAATATAGAGGAAAAAGGTCTTGGAAATTCTCGGAAATTGATCTTTAATAGTATAGCCAATTGCCCTTGTCAAATGTAATCCAATCAGCAACTTGAAGGTAAGAGAAAGAGTAACTCGTCGAGTCCAGAGTGAACTCGCCGAGTTAAGTCGATAACAGTCGGTTTTTCCAAATGGACTTGTCGAGTATCTGAATGGATCTCGACGAGTTTTCTTCACTGAGTAAAAGAAATTAGCTCCTGCTTTAGGTTAGTTTCTGGGGTTTGAGTAGATTATTATAGCAATATTCCCCCTCATTTTTCTTCAGTAAAAGCACATCCCTTCAGCTGTTTAATTATCAGACTCGTAATTAGACTCAATTCTCCCATTCTTCTCGTTTTAGACTCGATCTCACCTTTTATTCCTCATGCTTTATTCGTTCATTCTATCCCTCACCCTATATTCTGAAAAGATCAAAAACAAATACCAAGTAATAAAAAGAAACATCAAAATAAAAATCCTAAATTATCCCTAAATACTAGAAGTTTAGAAAGAAAAAGAAAAGCAAACTCTAATGACGGGTTGCCTCCCGCAAGCGCTTCTTTTTGTGCGAGTCTTGAGCTGGACTCTCAACTAAATAAACTTCCAATAAACTCAACGCCAATCTATCCGTTGCATTGAATATCTTCTTTAGTGGACCAATTTGTAAAATTTGGCTCTTTGCTTCAAAAAATTGGCCAAACGAGCTTGAATATATAAAACCCAAGAATCTTGATAAGGGTTGGGACCGGTTGGATACTAATCAGAAATGGATCGCGCTTCAGAACTTTCTCCAAAGTTGGAGTCGTCACCCCATGCCTAGAAACACAATCTGGGAAAATAGGGGGCCACGTCGTGGTAATGGTCAAACCACGGTTTGGTTCCTGTAACTCAGCTTGTTCTTGTTCTTCATCTGACCCTTCTGCTAGCAATCTTTCCAGCTCCTTCAAATCTCTTTCTGGATTAAATTCTTCATCTTTTAACTCTAGCTCTTGTAACTCAAATTGCTCTTGTTTATTAGGCAAGATGTTATCTAACCATCTTCCAAATTCCTTCAAATCATCATATGAGTCATATTCCTCATCTTCTTGCTCAATTTCCTTTACTACTTCCTCAAGAAAAGCATCAAAAGCATCGAGATTTGGAAAATACATAATAAATATTAAAACAACAAAAACTCGTAACTTTATATGAGATAAATCTCACACAAAGGATCGATAATACTAGCAATTAAAATAAATTTTAGAACCGTTCCTCGGAAACGGCGCCAAAAACTTGATGTGTGTGAAACGTACTAGTTTTAATCCTACTAACTTAAACAAAAAAACAAACACACAAAAGGCAGTGTACCTATCGATTAGTAGTTTAGTTCAGGTAAGCAGGGTATCGAACACAGGGAACGGTAAACAATTAAAATAAATGCTAATATTATCTAAATAAAACAATATAAAAGGGGGTTTCTCTAGTTTTGCAAGACTAGAAACTTAAACAATCAATTAACACTCAAACAAAATGCAGTTAACAATTAAGAAGAACAAGAAAGGACAACTAGATTCAATGATAAAAGAGACTTCTGTTCAGATTTGATTCACTTATTCCTATGGTTGATTTCGTGGCAAGTGCAATGGATCAATATGTCAATGGTTACCGATTCCTAATGTGATTGGGTTCATGTTCATTATTACCAATCCTTTAGTAGACAAGTTAATTCAAACAGTGATCAAGTGATTAAATTAACAAGTTTCATAGTGTTCAGTTCGTATCAAGCAAGACTTATAACAATAGTTAATTAAATTTGTTCAATTCAATCAACTCATGTATGGTTGTTTATCACACATGCTCACACATTGATTTACACATTTTATAGTTAACCCTAGTTTCATATTCACTATTCCTAGGCATACAATCTTATATTCATAAACTATATGAATCAAGTAATCAAGAAGATATTCATGCAACTCAATCACTTATTTGTTAACTAAAAAACATTTATCATCAATACATAAGGATCTTTAATAAGCTTAACAAGATGAATAACCAAATTAATATCAATTCAACCACTCAATCAAACCATGTTCATAAGATTATCTCATCCAAACAGAAGTAAAAAGCTTTTAGCTCATATCTAAAGCAAGTAATAACCTAAAATCAAAATCTAATGATTAAAACATGGTTCAAAACAAAGATTAAGAAAAGAAGAATGATTATTTGCCTTTGATTCTCTTTGAAATTGTC